TAAATTTCATTTCAACACTAATGACTGATTAAATAATTAAATATTGTTACAGTGTGTTAAATAAATAAATATTTATACAGTGTTACGGACAGGTTAGTAGAAAGCTCAATAAAAAATAAAGAAAATAAAATATTTACATTTTCCTTGACTATCAATCGCATGGAAAGTATCATTTAAGACTAATCTGCGATGACCAAAAGCTTTTCTCAGTATTGGAGAATCATTTAGAGTTCTCGGAAAACAATTCTCTTGTCGGAAATTTGGTATGGAAACTTTTTTCAATCGAATTACAGGTGAGCCTTGATGTACACCACCATTTGTTCCTGTCAACTGAAAAAAATATCTACAGTAGCACATTCTGTTACAAAACTTATTCGAGTATCGAATGATGAAATGATTAATTTGCACTTGCATACTTACATCTACTTATAAGTTCACGAAAAATAATTTGACGAAAACAATTTTTTAATAATTCAGCTAACTTCTACAACTGTTTGAAAAGAAAAGAAACCTCGACATAACCACTTTTCGTAGCTACTAATGCAGAATTATTCAAACGATCCCTGAATTCTTTTGTTCTTAGATCTTGTTCCTGAAAACATTTTATTAAATGAACTTCTTGCTCAATATTATTCATAAAAGCAGGATCATCGAAAGTTGATCCATAATTTTCGCAAAAACCTTCATCCCTAATTCTTAAAAGTAACTTTAGAAATCATGAAACACTGGTGCTTGGATAACTTCATTGTAACTTAAGAAAAAAATGACAAACCTTTTCTACGTGAAAAAAAAAAGAAACTTTATACTATACAATTAATGCGTATTTTTATAAACGGATGTACCTGACAAGTAATCACATTTCGCATCTCTCTCTCTGTCTTTTCAAAGTCATTCTGTTGCTCAAGAAACCTTTGTTCGAAACTTTGATGTACTTGAATCAGATTATCCTGCAGCAATGCATTCTCACTGCAAAAAATTAAAAGAAAAATGTGTTTCTTTAAAATTTTTCTTCATTCAAATGAAATCAGTAAGTTAAGAGAGAAAAGTGAAGCAAAACTGACAAAGCAATTCACCGATTCAAATTTTTAACTTTATATATTAACATTTGATTTTCTCCAAGCGAATCGCCGAGTTGTTTTCTTAATCTGTTAATCTGAAATCAACCAAGTAATTTTATACATGAACTTCGTACTGCAAAAAAAAAAGACTTCGCTTTACGGAAATACCAGAAACACAAAAAAAAAAATACCAGAAATTTCAGCAATATGCAATTTCATACTGAAAAAAGCTTAATCTCTTCTTAAGCTTATGATGTAGAAAATTCTGTTTAACTCATTCATTTATCAGTGCTGGTGTGATTCAGCACCTAAACGTACTTTTTCCAATGTAGCCTTTGTTATGGGTAACTTTAACTTAACCTTAACTGACACTATTACTGCAACTGCTGCTACAACCAAAAATTGTAGTAAATTGATGAGAATTAAAATACATTTTGCATTTGAAAAGAAAACTGAAAAAAAAGAATTGCAAGAAAGAGACATCTTACTTCTTGTGTAAGCATATATACATCGCCAGCAAATGGTATTTCATCAAATGGTTTCAGTAGACCTTCTCTCAAATTCTCCGACAAAAATGATACTTTATCAGGCTGAGTCGGAACAATCCAATCTAAAAATCTATGGATTAATCAAGAAAGAAATAAAAATCAAACTTAAAATATTTTTGTTGCTTCGCATACAGTGGAATATTCTCATAATCAATAAAACTACTATTCTAGTATAATGAAAGGTTATGAAACAATGGACAGATAATATAGCAGTATTTATCTAAATATCATTTAACCATTTAACCATTTAAATATCATTTAACCATTCATACTTGTATCATCCATAGCTTGTGACAATAATTTCGAATCATCATTATCATCATCTTTCTTCGTTTCTTCCATATCATTATCACCCGTTCTTGCATATTCCATCTTATCACTGTCTCTTCCCCTATCTTTCATCTTCTCATCTTTCGTACATCGACGCTTTTCTGGTGGACTATCTGCCATTTTACACTGAAACTTTTCTAGAATCATTTATGAAGAACAGAAACATTTTTGTTCAATTTGATAAAAGAATGCAAACAATCATATGTAAAAAAACATAAACAAAAGCATATAATTTTATGTTCTCTATTTATGTATACATAGAAAATTCCACTGAATCAATATTCCATATATATATATATATATATATATATATATATATATATATATATATATATTATTATTATTATTATTACTTATTAACTTGAATCTAAAACAGTTTCATGCCAAAAAAAAGAAAAAATTAAGAGAAATTAAAACTACATTTACATTAAAATTAAGTTTTAGAATATTGTTTAGAACCATTAAGGAACAATACTAATAATTTTAGGTATTAATAAGCAAATTACAATAATATTTTCTAACCATCTATTAGTTATCTTATTTAGATTTATCTTAATTCTTATCATTGCCTATTATAAATCTAAATATTTTATTGAAAATTTTTATTCCTTCTTTTTACTCTAAATCACTAGCAAAACAATGAAATGATTATATTTACAAAATCCCTCTCAATTCTTAACAATTGTAATCTTTTACTCCAAAAATGGAAAATTTTTGCTGATTCTCTCTCAACTACACATTATCATTACTTTCTTTTCTTTTTTTTTAATCCCTTCCACTGTCTGAACATTACTATTACTCACATCTTAACAAATCTCTGTTTCTCCTCAAAATACATTCAATCTAAGATGCAAAAATTGATGCGAGACGTTTGATAGCCTCACGTATTACTTTAATGATAGTAGCAAACTTTATCGAGTAAAGTAATCAAAAATGTCTAGTACAAATAAAAGTTAGGGAGATTAAAGAAGTCAAAAAAAGAATTTACAATTTCTTCTTTTGACGGTTCGACTATCTTTATCCCACGTAACGTGTTAAATGACTCGGACTACTTCGTTCCAGTTTGTTGGAAGTTCTTCTGGCTTTTACGTGTAGTAGTAGTGATTTTCGTTACATTTCCTTCACGCTTTTAACGTACTTCGTCTAGTCTGTTAAGAGTGATAAAGTTGTAAATTCGCTCAGCTAGTTCTTTGGTTGATGGTTTAAGTTGTGTCGTACATTTTTTTTTTCTTGTTCTTTTCCAAACCATAATTAGAATAAAGTGTGACAGATTTTCCTTAACGTACGTTCTGTTGGCTTGTAAGAAGTGATAAAGTTGTAGATTCGCTCAGTTTAACTTTTGGATTGATTTTTTCAGATCGTGACTTGCATTTCTTTTTTTTCTTTTTCGAACGATAATTTTAATTTAACAATTTCGATTTCAGTCAACATCTTCATGATTTAATTTAGAATAATTTTTTGAAGAGTGAATAATTTCAGATTTAATACGAAAGTGACTATATGACAAAGTGGAGGAATAGAGCACAAGCAGCCTCATTAATTAGGCATGTTATCGAAGATTTCCATAAATCTAGAGTGGTAAGTAATTCTCCTATATTCAGAATATTTTATAATATTCGGAAATGTTCCGGAATATTTTAGTATAATGAGATTTTTTGGTATGTCTGAAGATTACACGACACACTTATTGTTATTCAAAGATGCACGTTAGGGTATTTTTGAGGAGTCTGATATGTTCTAAACTATATAAAAAATTAGAAATTCTGTTTGTTTGAAACTTCGTTATATTACTGCAGTGTAGAAACATATTTCTGGCTTTTCAGGATCTTACTTGGAAAAAGTCGGAAAAGTCATTTCTAAAGCAGAAGGCAAATATCGAGCAAAATAAGAAGAATGTATTACGTAATATGCCAAGAGAAGAACATCTTTATAATACATACCGGCATTACCTGACTAGTACAATGCATTTGAAATCATTACAAGAGCAGTATAAGGTTAGTTTAATTTCTTTATTTGAGTCTTATGAGAGGCATTTTTTAAAGAATAAATTTCGAGGACTAAACTTTTTATTGGATGGGAAACGATGTTTGCATGAACATAATACTATCATTTCCTGCCTGAATTTGTCAGAATTGCTCATCAACAAAGAGAATTACTTTTTTGGGGTATGAGATGTGCAGTTTCAGAAAAAAAAAAAAAAAAAAATCTTTTTTTCATTTTTAGGGTGGTGAACGTTCATTAGAAGAAAGTGCCAGACTTGTTGGTCTGAAAATACCTTCTTCGAAATCGTAATAGCTTAATCTTTTTTTCATGATTGTGCACTTTTTTTAAAGAACGTCATATAAAAGTCTCTTTAATTTTTGAAATTTGCAGAAAATTTTCGCGTTATCTCCGAATTGTTGGTCCCTTATTTTAGCGGGTAATTTCACGGATTTTTGTAACGCAATATGCTACTGTGTAAAAATATTCATGTAAGCTTATCTTCTTTATTTCGCATCATTTAAACGATGATTGCTAATTTATACAAAATGATTCGCTTCAAAATAATGAACAAACAAACATAAGTACCCGAAAGCCGGAAGATGATAGCGTTAATTGGAGTATTTCAAGAAAGGTTACTTAGGAATCACAGCCATAGGCTCTTGACGCTTCACAAAAGGAAAACGAGACTTTGATATGCGAAAAAATTCTCGAATCTTGAAACCATCAAGTGCATAACAATTGGCATTACCCTCAAATATAAGCAATTTAACCTTAAAACAAAATACCCAAGTCTTGAGACAGCAAGAATTATTTACGAGCATTATTTACTATTTAATATTGTATTGTTGCAGTTTTTTTTTTTTTTCTTAACACATATTTCTGAATACAATTAATGCTTGAGTTATCCGTTACCAAAATTTAGGCTATACAAATTACTTGCATAAATTCTTGTGAGTTATTTGCCTGTTCAAAAAATTTTCTTTCACAGTTCTGAAAATTACATAATACTGATTATTGAAAAATGAAATGAACAGTGGAATGTGTTGAAATTTCAATATTTAATAACAATATCACCATTTGATTAAGGTACATCACCTGTCCGTACATAGTATCTTAATTCGTCTTCAGAATTAACAACAACCAATTGTTTTTTAACAATATGGTCACCACTAAGTTCTATCAGCTGTTGTTGCATTTCTAAATTATCACCAATTATTAACATTTAACCGTACAAAAATTGTATCATAAATGGATTATTTCAACTGGGAAAAGATTAGAAAGACTATAATATCAACTTATATATTTTTTTCTTTTTGTTTATACAATAATAAAATGATAGCCTAATGTTAGAGATTAAGTTTCTAGACAAAAAAAATAAAATTGTAATATATTGTTAATTTTTAAATTAAGAAAAAAAACTTCAAAAAATAGCTATTTCTACATTCATTAAATTACATGCTTAATTTATCATAAGCGAAATATTTCTAACTGAAATAAAAAGTAGCATAAATTATTGATGATGATAAGATTTGAAATAATACCAGATGTTGTTTGACTTTGTGTACCAAATCGATTCATCAATCGTATTTGCCGTTGTAAATCAGGATTTGCTACTAATGCTGCTCGTATATCATCAATTGTAATATGACGTTTGATACGTAATCCAAAGGTATTTGATAAAAGATTTGAATTACCACAACCTTCCACTTCTTCACATGTTTCCTATATTATTATTATTTTTTTCTTCTTGCTTATATTTAATTTAATTCTTAAGAATTTGTATTGATTAAATTTGTATAAATTCATTAAAATTATTAAATTTTAAATGTAATATATTACCAATGGACATGGTGAAAATGGACAAATCCTGACAAGACAGGAATATTGTACTTTTGATGTTGTCTGATATCGAAATGATTCAGCAATTACTCGTATACCATATTCAGTTTTTTGCGGTGGACATACTAAACCAACGTGATCCGCTTGACAACCATCCTTAATTATTGCTAATGGTTCACGTTCCCATTCATAAATTGATCCAATTGGCTCAACTTGGCATCCCTTTATACTCATATATATTGCTAAAATATTATAATAAAATTCTTTTCTTTTAAGAATAAATTGAAGTTTATATTTTCATTTCAAATAATAAGTTGAAATGCATATAATTGAGGAAAAAAAAAAAGTAAATAAATTAATTCTACGAAACATACATGGAATAGCGTAGTATGGAATGAAACTAAGTGTTATTTTACTTCCAACAACTACCGCTTCAATTGGTTGTCCATTATGAAAGATATCGAAAATAACAGCATCATTTGATGCTCGTCTTGTATCATTTAGGTGAGGTAATGATTTATTTACGCTAAAAAAAGTACAAAATTTATATTGAAACGTTATCAATGATTTATTTGATGTTTGTCTTATTTCATTCATATGAGATGATTTCTTCATGATAAAAAATAATTTATCATCGATATTTAAATTTTAAATGTTTTGTTTAGATGAGATGATGAAAAAAAAGAAGAAATAAAACAAGAAATTATCTCATTATTGAAATATAACTTTTAATAGAATATTAAAATATTTCAATACTTTAATATCAAAATTTTTTTTATTATTTTAATACAAACACTAAATCATTTCAATTATGATGGTTTATTCTTTCTTCTGGAAAACAAATTGAATTATTAGTTTCGAAAAAGAATAAATTACCTGTATGAGGTTATTGTTATATTTTTTGATGGAATTTCTGCTATTCGTTGAATGGAAATATTATTATCTTCTTTTCCGGCAACAAATTGTTCTAATGTTACAGTCATTGTTGAATGATCATTGCCAACTTTTATTCTTTCATCTGTTATTGGTGTAGCTTTTGTTATTTCAATTAGTGTATTTGTTGTTGTTGTCGCTGTTGTTGTTTCCGTTAATGTTATAGCTTTAATAATATCATTCATAGTTGTTGCTGTTGTTGTTGATGATGATAACGACAGTGATGATGATAATGATATTGATGATAACAATGATGATGTTTCGGCATTTCTTGAATTTTGTTCAGCATCTAGTAATGCTGGTGTTATAAATTCCATTGTTGTTGGCAATATTAATGGAAGTGTTGAATTCTCCATTATATCATTTACATTTGTAAATGTCATTATCGTATTGTACCTTAAAAAAAATGTATTCCATTTTCAATTGAAAAATTAAAATATTCAGACAAAATTAAATTTGACATAAAATTACTGTATAAGTAATCAACTAATCAATGATACTATTTATAGAAAATATGGATAATTTTTTACTTTTTTCTTAACACAAATTCGGCAGGAATAAGACAATTGCCGATGAAATTAATTCAGACATTTATTGAGATTGTATAATTCGTCACTATGACATAAGCATATTCTCATCCATTGAGGATGCGCAATAATTTTTGTAAAGATTTATAGGCATATTCAATCTTTTAATCACTCTTGCATATACGTCTAATCTTCCGATTTTTTATTGCATAAAACTGGTCTTTTTTTATAATTCTAATATTTCCTTTGCTTAAAAATAAAGTTTTAAACAACTACACATCTTAACATATTCCCAACTAAGAAAAAAAAAAGAAAATTTGCTGTTTTTTTATTTTCCATTAAATTAAACAAAATTATAATGAGCTTTAATCATGCAAAACTAATAATAATTGTTAATAATAGTGGTGAACTTACACTGATTGCTGGATAATTTTATTATCTGAAGAACTGAGTGGAAGTGCATCAGTGATAGTGCTGCTTGTACTACTAGTATCAGTAAACATAGTGTTTGTGATACTGCTTCCAGGTACTGATATAGTAGTGCATAAATTTGTAAACGTAGTGCTACTACTATTTGACCCCAGAAATGTATTATTGATTTCATTGATAGGTGAAATTTTCGTGCTTTCGTGCTTTTCTAAATTTTAATTATTCAACAAAAACAAAAAAAAGAAGAAAAACAATTAAATTCCATGCTAACAGTAAAATCTATAGATTGCATTAATATATATTCAAATCAAATTTCCTCAAACAAAAAAGAAATTAAAAGAAAATGAAAAAAAAAAATGAGAAGGAATAGAAACTGAAATTGAATGACAAAATTAACAGAAACAAAACATTGTAGAACTTAAAAAGAAAATAATAAAAAAGAGATTTACCAATAAAATATGAAATTTTATGAATGATACTTTTTAAAAATTTATTTTAGTTTATTACTAATTTAAAAAGTTTGTTAATAATCGTAAAAAAAAGAAAATATTAAGCATGATTTTGTTTTTTCCCGGAAAATTTAAGAATTTTATAAATCCCTTTTGTCCAAAATATTCGAAAAAAAACAAGCGAGCTTAAAATAAATGTAAAGCATTATTATTATTATTATTATTATTATTATTATTATTATTATTATTATTATTATTATTATTATTATTATTATTATTATTATTACTATTATTTATCACTATTATTTACTATTAGTCGTTACTTTAATATTATTATTGTTTTTTTTAATTCATAAAATATTTACGTTCTATTTCATTCAATGTAACATCATTGTTGTAAATATTTTCTTTTTGAATTGTTGTTGCTGTTGTCGTAATAGTAATAGTGGTTACTGTTGTTGCTGTTATTGTTGTAAACATCATTTTATCTAACATTTTTGTTTTCGAAAATATTTCAGAGCTCGATGAAATCATACTATGTATTGATGTTGCTTCCGGATACATGGCATTTCGTCTGGTTGCTGTTACATCTAATATTCTTGGTGTAATTTTATTTGTAGCTAAATTATACATTTCAAATTCTGAATTTGTTGAACTTATTGAATCGCTGGCAGCAGTGTTTATATTTTCATCATATTTATCAGTTTTAGAATCAAATTTCGATTTAACTGCTTCAATAGTAGTAGTCATATCATCATTAGCTGTAGTAGCAGCAGGAACAGTAGTAGTAGTATTACTAGTAATAGTAATAGTAGTAGTAATAGGTGTTATATTAGTAGTAATTGTTGTTGTAGTAGTAGTTGTTGTTGTTGTTGATGATGATAATGCTGTTGTTGTTATTGTTGTTGCTGTTAATACTAACAATTTTATTGTTGAAGTACTATTAATATCAGTAATAGTACTATTAATTGAATGTAATGTATTATTATCAATAAAATTGTTCATATGATTATTAGTAATAGCATATTTTAATGATAAATTTTTGTTGATACTTGATAAATGACGTTGTTTAGTTGCATTTGCTAACATCGAAAATAATGTATGTGCTGATGCGATCATTTTCAAATTATCAACTGTTGCATCACTGAAACATTGAATCATGCAATCATGCAAAAATTATTGTACATAAATGATAATATGATAAAACATGCAAAAAAAAATAAAGTTATCAATAAATAGTGCTAATGGAATTATTCGTTTACTTTATATATTTTAATTAAAATGATGCGTGCCAAAATGAAAAAATAAAAAAAAAAAAAACCAAAAAATAAAGGAGTGAGATATAATTTTGAAAAGTGTATGTAATTTTTAATTATTTTCTGAAATAATACAATTATTTTTTAGAAAACAAATTTTTCTCTTTTTAATTAATAAAAGAAAAGAAATATAAGCTTTTTTTTTTGCTCCATTAATTATTACTAAATGATAATTTCTTTCTCTTTTCTTTAAAAAAAGAAAGAAAGGAAATAGTAATGTCTACTTTTTAAGGGTTGAATGATGATCGGTACTTTGATCTAAACGTTTAGCTTCATTTAATGGACAACGAGCTTGATAGGTAAGATCATCAGGTGTTATAAAATATAATGGTTCAACACCATCTGTTGATATAACTATTTCTAATACCATATCTTTTCCCTAAAATTATAATGGTATAAATTTTTTTGATCTAAAACATTTATTAAATTTTTTAACGAATAAATTCAAATAGTTAAATATTAGAAATGTTAATATTATATATTTAATTTCTATTATTGTCATTCATGCTTCTACTTCAATTTTATATCATCAAATAATAACAATATTTTTCTTTTTATTTAGTTTTTTTTTTTTTTTTTCTGCTCTGTCATTTTTCATTTATTTCACTAAGCAAATTTCATGTTATTTATTATTTCAAATTTAATAAATTTTTTTTTAAAACAAAGAAAACGAAAAATTGTAATTACCTTATAACGTATACTATCACTGCAATTCTTGGAAATTGTTGGTGATGGAAAGAAATATTCAAAATTAGTGTTGTTTTTAGGTTCAATACGACATGTGAAAAAGTCATAAAGGCCATACATGGCACCTGTATATGGATACTTTGAAATGACCTTCACCTCTATTCCATCATCTTTGCACTCGTAATCAAATGTGAATGAATCTGCAACTAAACTATAACTTTTTATTTTCGTACTTCCAATAACAATTTAAAATTAAATTTAAGAGAGAAAAAAAGCGGCAAATTATTAAAAAAAAAAGGAAAGCGAGAGAGAAAAATGGTATAATTTGTTTGCATTAAATGAAATCATAATTAATCGCAACTTTTTTTTATTTAAAAAAGAAAAAAAACGTACAAAATTAAATGTTAAAATTAAGCGCAAAATATTAATGGTTTATTCTTATTATTTTTTTATTCCGAAAAAAAATTTTCTCATTTCAAATTATACACCTTAATTAATTAATTAATTTAAATAACTAACTATTTGTGCAACTATTTTCGTAATAATCAATTCGGTAGTTGGGATTGTTGTTAATTTTGATCAATGCTGGTTTACTCAATTGATTATGCTGTGATAAGAAGCAATCACCATCAGTACGATTGTAGGAAACACTACGACATGCATAATTGACTGCGTCCAAACATGCACTTAAGCAATCTTCAAGAGTTTTAGTTCGCATCACTTCACGAACTTCACGTAAATCCATATAACGATCTGATAAATATGTGAATGCATAATCGCCCGAACAACTTTTATTTGCTAAAATAAATTCTTTGCCTTTTTTTTCAATTTAACATGAGAAAAAGGTTATTGAATAAAATTTGAAACGATAGAAAAGACGAAGAAATACATAAAAATTGATTATTAATTAAAATGAGATTTTAAAATGATAGATGGATAAACAAAGAGATACTTAAAAATTAGTTACTAATTTAAATAAAATTTGAAGTTATAAAAAAGAAAAAAAGAAAGAAGTAAACAAAAATTAGTTATTAATTAATTCATTTATCTTTTTTTGTGTTTGTTTTTTTTTTCCTTTTTTTATTCGCAAAAACAAAAAGATCAAAAAAAAAAGATTAAAATGTGATTAATCAATTTAATTAAATGACCAACAATTTGAAATTTGAATTTTTTTTTGTAATTTTTTCAAATATTTTATTAGAATTAATTATTTTATAATTTCATCACTTTTTTTCTTTGTCGCTTTTTCATATGCTTGTGAGTGTTTTGTGATAGATGAATGACCTATTTTATCGCAATGGAACAATAATTATTTAGCCTTGAAATATCTTGTTACATTTATTTCTTCACCGCAATAACTATTTATTCATTTAAATTATAATTTATTTCATTTATAATTAAAAAAATAAAAAACTTTCTAAAAGGAAACGAAAAAATGTTTAGAGCAAAAAAAAGGAAAGAAAATAGTAAATAAAGTAAAGCAAATATTTATTGTTAAAGCAATTAAATACAGTAAAATTTGAAACAAAAATTTAAAAATAAAAATTACTTAGCAAATTGGATTTAGAAATATTTAAGTGAAATAAAATGATACAAAAAAAATCGAATATTTTTTCTTTCAATTTTGTTTTATTTTAAATTAATCAAATTTTTACCAAAAAACACAAATAAAATATACATAATGAAACAAATTTATCCAGTTATCATATTTAAATGAAATAAAAAAATTATTAAATAATTTAAAAAAGAAATGAAAAAAAAAAACTTACACTGTACACAATATTCCCAATAAAATGAATATCTATCATCGGCTTCAAAAAAACTTTCACCATGTTGTAATTGATCAGCTTGATATAATTGGCAATGTTGTGAATATTGTGGTAAACCTTGACGATGATTGAATCTATACATTATTTAATTATTATTTAATCAATTAATTAACGCATAATTATAATAATCCTTAAATTATTCAAGACCGAAAAAAAAAAAAACTTCAAAACTTTATTTTATTATTACCTTTCATATGCATATGTTGTTTTTAATGTTTTCTTGTTTTTCTTTTTATTTTCAAAAAGAAAGGATAAAAAAAAATTTAAGTACAATGAAAAAATTTTTTTCAATTGAATATTAAAAAAAACTATAGCAAATTTTGCAAATAATTAACGAGAAAAAAGAATGAGTCAAACAACTAATAAAAGTAAAAAAAAAAAAAAAAATTACTTAAAAAAAAATGAAAGAAACTTTTTTTTTTACTTTTATCATAAGCAAAAGAAAGTGAACGAATTAAACTAATTGAAAAATAGCTATAGCAACAATTAAGGCAGACATATAGTTTAAAGAAAATTTAAACCCTGAGCACTGTATTTCATTATCACTTTTCACAGGATCTTCGTCATTTGCGCACGCTCCTTTACATGTGCGAAATGAATATGGTCCTTCAATTCGTGCACCAAACATTATTTTAACTCGTTGCCATCGTACATATATTGGATTACAGTTTATTCCACTTGTTGCTTAAAAAGAAGAAAGAAAAGAAGAAATATTTTTTAAAATTATTTCAAAAAAAGAAAAATAACAAAAAAATAAAAATTCATTAATTGATATTATTAATCATCTAATATTAGCACTGAAATAAGGGAAAAAAAATGACAAATATAAAAATTAAAACAATTTTAATAAATATAATTGAATAATTATATTAATTAATTAATTGATTTTGAATTGATATATTTAATTAATGATTAACTACAACCATATTATTCTTAACAGTTTCATTTTTTTATTCAAAAAAAAAAAGAAAAAGTGGAAGCACTTTTTCTTTTTCTTTAACACCAAAAGACATATGTAAAATATATTAAATTTTAGTTAGTTTAGATTTAAATTTTAATTTAAACAAAATTTTTTTATTGCAAGAAGAAAAAAATTTCACTAAATAAAGAATGTAAAAAAAAATCGTATTTTAAACCATAAAACTTTGCTAGGTTTTTTTCTTTTTATTACCGAGTTTAGTGTACCTTTACAATAAATTATTTTAAAATTATTATTATTATTATTTTAAAAAGTGAAGCTTATTTTTCAAAAAAAAAAAAAAAGAAAGAAACCATATGGAGTAAATAAATAAATGATCCATAATCCGTAAAACATATGCATCCAGCTGAAAATATCGCTTTTGATAACGAATTAGCTGATATGATAAATTATAACATATTACTTTAAAAACAGAAATTTCGAAAAAAAATAATTTATTTCAGGAAAAAATTCACAGTAATGAATTTGATTAATATTTTCGTTTTTTTTTTTTTTTTTTTGCTTTTTTCGTCATATGCTTAAAACAATAAATAGAATTTAAATGATGGAGTGTTGGAAAAAGTAAAATATATGAAAATTGTATTTTCATCCAATGTTTTTGAAGGTTATATTTATATGTTATTATAAATGACTTGGTAAAAGATAGTGAAAGAAAGAAGAGAAATATTTTAATTACGAATTTTCAAAAAATAATGAAAAAAAAGGAATTGGAAAGTGAGAAAACGATAAAAATTGGCAATTTCGACCAAAGTTAATATAGTATGAATAATTTTTGCCATGGTAACGTGAAGAAACAGAAAGAAGAAAATAAAAAAGAATTTTAAAAAAAAACGAAATTGAAATTATACGAAACATTCATATATATATATACTGCATGAAAAATGGGCTTTAAATTTAATTAATTAAATTTTAAAAAAATGCAGAGAAGGAAAAAAGCGTAGGGGAGCGTGAAAAAATGAAAAGAAAAAAATTTTTTTTTGATAATAATTTAAAATTATTAAAAAATAATGCAAATAAAAATTTTTCATAATGTGTTCAAACAAAAGTTGCACTTCTATTTAATTTTGAATTGTAAGAAATCCCTGAAAGGTTTTCAGAATATAAATCGAAAAAAAATTCTTTTCTTTTTTTGAGAAAAAATTTAGCATATAATAATATAAATTATTGTATGCAAAATTTAATTTTTAAAAGTAATACTTATAATTATTGTAATTGATTGAAATTGTAAAAAATGTAACAATGTTAATTTTATTCAATTATAATGTAAATCTATGCAACTATTCAAATTTTAACATTTTATTCACAATAAATGTTTTGAAATTTTTGATTTTTTCAATTTTTTATCCATTCATTAAAAATTAATGACGAGTGGAAGAAAGAGAGAGAGGGGAAGGAGAGAGAGAAAGAAAGTGGGAGAGGAAAAAACAATACTTGCAAATAAAAATATGAAATAACCAAAAAAAAAGAATTTGTCAAAAAGATTTGTAAAAAATTTAAAAATAGTTAGAAAGAATGAAAATGTTGGCTAAAATGAATGAATGGGAGTATGAAATGGGTGACACCCTTGACATATTTCAGGTGACATTTTCTACTTGAAAATCAGAAAAAATAAAAGAAAAGCCAAAGATTTAATAGTTCTAAGATAGAGAAAGCACTTGACTTTTCGTTTTTTTTTTTACCTTAAATTTTTTTTTCTTTTTTTCAAAGATTGATCGTTCATTCGTATTTAGCTATAATATTAAATGAATTTGATCATTTTATATCAATACCTATTAATAATAATAACAGTAATTTGTATCTTTTTCTTTCTTTTTTGAATGAAATTTTTATAAAAAAAGTGTTCAAAAAATATTTACTTAATCAATTTTACGCTTCTTTCTATGCCTTTTCTTTTTTTTTTTTTTTTTTTTTTTTGCGAAGTTAGCATAATGAAACAAAGAAGATAAGGAGAAAAAAAATAAAATAAAAAACGGTATGCGATGAAATTATTTGTAAATTAATCGGTGTCATAAAATGTCTTTTTTTTTGAAATTTCTTCTAAAAAAGTTCTAAAAAAATTTTTCCCTTTTCTGTTTTTTTTTCGCTTTCATTTTCTTTTTCTTTCAAAATTTTAGTTTAAATTTAGAGTTTTAGTTAATTTTGAATTCTGCAGAGGAATATAACATTCTCTACGTAAAATTTTAAAAATGTTCAAAGAACTTTTTTAAATGGATTACTGGAAGAAAATTAATAATGTAATTAAACGAATACTTTAAAAAATAGAAATGCAAGGTGTTATTTCAAATTCCTATTCAAAAATATAGTATTTTTCAAAAAATTATTTCGAAAAAGGAAATTTTATGTACAACATGAATCTTAAAGTTTAGCGAATTTAAAATTAAGAAACAAAAAAAAAAAAATTAAATTGTTGAGAAATAACTTGGCATATATTTCAGAGAAAGTTTTTTTGACCTTTTTTAACCTGAAAATGCTATGTAATTGATAAAATTTGTTGTGTCAACAAATTTTATTACTTTCCTAATTAAAATATGGCATTGGCTCTTATTGAATTGCTAAAAATTTTGTAATTTTGTGTCAAAAAAAAATTGGCCTATATTATGCCATTGTTATTCTTTTCTGCATTTCCCAACTTATAAAGCAGTCTTAATTTTAGCTTTTTAATTTTGATCAACATATTATAGATTAGCATAATTTATCTTCACCTTCATTATGCACTTCGTCCTTCTCTAATTATCATAAAATGAGTCCACTGGCTTACAGTATTACATGATTCTACTACACGTGACAAATTACATATTGAGTTTCCACGTGAACGTTGCGTAGGACTTTCTGTGTTCTTTCAATAAACAAACTGAGTAGCAAAATAATTAATTAACTCAAGTTAAAACTATTTTTTTTCAATTTTATAAATAAAAACATTTACATATCGGAAATATTTTTATGATAATGGAATTAATAATGGAGTAAAATATGGTTTGGATTCACAACAAAAAACGGAATATGATCGCAATCAATGCTGTGAAGCAGAGTATAATCAGTAATGTGTTGATCAGGATTTATTCTGAGAAGAGCTAGGATTAATGCTGAGAAGCCGGATATGATTTGTTTCTGGGAAGAGTCAGGATTGGTGCTGGGGAGCCGGCTATGATCAGGATTGATGTTGAAAATAGGGATAGTGTAGGGTTGAAGGACTATAGGATAGTCTAGAGGCATTAGAGGACTACTACAATTGGACCTCACCTCACCTCTAATTAGTATATTTACGTATATATGTGTATCTTTATCTTGTCGTGTTAAGTGTCTGTCTGTCTGTGTGTGTGTGTGTGTGTGTGTGTGTGTGTGTGTGTGTGTGTGTGTGTGTGTGTGTGTGTGTGTGTGTGTGTGTGTGTGTGTGTGTGCGTGTGTGTCAATTTGAGCAAGGGACCTTGACATCTATTGGATGTCATCCGGTCGCTTTTCCAATTCTATCTATGGCAATCATTTTCTGCGATGATTCATGCGTACACACATATAAATATACCTATACAGACACACAAACAGTCGCACACATACATATATACATATGTGTGTCTTCTAATACACAACTGTAAATATCAATTCAATAGATAGTAGTAGTAATGGTAAGTAGTGAGTAGTGACCAAATGACCACTAATTAAATAGCCTGTGCAGTTATAGAATTAATTATAAATGCACAATAAAATTGTATTTATTTTCAAATTTTTAAACAGCAATGTCAATTCAATATATGCACTTGATTATTCATTATTATAAGCCAAAAAAAATGAATTGCATTAACTAAGATTGATTGGAAAATAGCATCATTTGTTATTTAGGTGTTAAAGTTTTAAATTTTCCAAATATTTAATATAATTTAAAATATTTACATGTTAAATAAATAAGAAAAATCATCAAAATAATGCCTTTTGACCAGCTATATATTTTTTTATGCAATTGATAAATTAATGATGATTAAATGAAATGAAATTTAATAATTAATAGTTAAAATATTATATTGTTTTGAATTTACGTCATTTTAAAATTAATTTTATTAAAACTTTCTGAAATTATTGAAAAATTACCAATTTTTTGAAACAATTGTTGAAAAATTATTATAAAATTTACATCACCTTAAATTTTGGAATCATTTTTATCAAAAATCTTTGAAATTAAATAAATACATCATTCATTTCATTTCATTTTATTATCATTATTTTAACAATTTCATCAAGAGAAATATAGCTCGCTATATGTCATTATTTTTATCAAAATATTTAAGTTACATTATATATTTAAAATTTTAGAAATTTGACGTTTAAATTTTTAAAATAAGGCATCAGGAACAATATATGATTGCTGTTTCATATGTGGCAAATGATTTTTATCCTTAATTTTTCTACTATTTTTTTCTGTTTCTTATCATGTTTAATTGCAAATCGTTTTTTGTAATTATTTTTTAATTATTGTTTTTTTTTTTTTTTTGAAAGAAAGATTCTTTCAATATTCTTTTTTTACAAATTTATAACGTTGCCAAAAAAAAAATAGAAAGGGAGGAAGAAAAATTATTTATATTTGCAATAAAAGACATTTATTTATATTTTGCCACATTCTTACAATATTTCAAAATATTTTTCCGAGTAATTGCTTTTTTTCTTTCTTCATTTTTTTTTTGGTTTTATTTTGACATGACAAAATCCGTTTTCAACAGTTCAAAAACCTACTTTATTTTCAAAATTTGTTGCATTGTTAACAAAAAATGATTTTTATGTCAAAAAATTTTTGATATATATTTAAACACTAACATCCGCAATTTTATAATCTCCGTACTTTCGAATAGTAAGCTGTAATAGCTAATAGCTTCGTATTTATTCAACATTTCGATCGCTATTATTTATTATTATTGCAATTGCTACAATTACTATTCATTTCGTTTTCTTTTAATTTTCAATTAATTAAAGGGATAGGACAAAAGAACTTTAATTGAAAAGAAAACGGAGTATTTAATTTTTGTTTTCCAAAAATGATCTTGCTACTTTTTTTTTTTTTTTTGTTTGCATGTTTTTTTTCCCCTTTGTTTTACTCTAAAATAATTACAGTTGTGTGAGAAACAATTCTGAACTAATTTTTCTAATTTTTTCTTTGGAAAAAAAATGATAAAAAGAAGCAACTATAAATTAAATGAAATGTATCATCATCGTTAATTTCATGAATGCCATCATCAATTCAAATTCCAAATGACAATTTAGCTCATTAAATTAACGATGACTTAAACGATCTCTAATTATTCCAATAAACAAAAAGTCATTTTGTTTAAAAATGAAAATATGCAGTTTAATTATCAAACATAAGTCAAAATTTTTGACAGATAAATCAAGTTTTTCCCAAAATGAAAAAAATTCAAAGTGAAATACAATTGAATATCACTAATTGGTTATTAGGTTATTAAGATACCATTTTTAAGACAATGTAATTCACAAAATGATTTCATTTTTTTCATCCTTAATTTCATCATTACATGCTTTAACAAACTCTCTCTCCCTGTCATTCTCTTACATTCTAAACTTTGATAATCAGTTTTTTTTCGAATTATCTAAATTTAGATAATTCGAAAAAAAAAAGGAAAAAACGAAATGAAAAACGATTATTACTTTTGCATTTAAGAATAATAAAATACCATTTATTTCATTTTCATTTGTAACTTCTTTAGTGATAAACTTGAAATGTCACACATATTACTTTAAAAAATTTTTCATGAATAAATTTACATTCGAATAACAATTTGAAATAAATATATTTTAATCATATATAAATGAAGAAAAAGAAAGGGTAAGAATTTCACAGGTAGAAAAAAAGAAGCAAACGAAAAAAGAGGAAAATAGGAAAAGAAAGAAAATGAATTATTTAAAAATTAACGATTTCAAATATTATTTTACTTTTTAGAAAAATCAAAACTTTTACAACGAAGAAAAATCAATGAAATTTTGTATTTTTTTTTCTCATCATTAATATTTGATATTATTATTGTTAGTTATTTAAATTATAATTAATTAGGAAAAAAAGAAAATATTTATGTACGGTACAATTAGATATATTTATATATATGTATGTGTAGCAGCATAGAAAATATAAAAAATCTTTAGCAATGCTATTTATTCTACACAAAAAGAAAAAAATTGAAGAGATCTTTGATACAACACGAATTTAAAAAAAAAAAAAAATAAGAAAGAAAGAAAATGAAACAAGACAGAAAAAAACAACATTATTTGAAAAAAATATTTAAAAAATTTTGTAAACAGCATAAAATGGATAAAAGATCGAAAAGAAGAGAGAGAGAGAGAGAGGAAGACAACGAAAAAAAAGAAAAAATGGTAATGATTTTATCATCTAAATTCCGGATTCGTATATGAAAAGTTCAGGAAAGCCTCCGGATCAATTGATGCTAACAATGTTTTGTCAGCAATTGGTGTAAGTGTTGGCTTCTCCTGCGTAAAATCATCATCAAAATTGGAAATATCGTTTGCTGATTTCTGCAAACAATAAACAAAACTAATACATTATAAATGATTAAAAATTAAGAAAAATGTTTTTTTTTTTTTGGACTATAACAAGTGCTGATGAATGATAAAGTTATAGAGGAATTGAAATATTTTTCATACAAACAAAATTTTTAATCATCTCCTGTAAATGAAAACTTTTATCCTTTCATTTGAAACATTTTTCAAATTTTAATTTTAAAATACATTACAGTATTTAAAATATAAATTAAAAAAAAAAGTAATAAGGAAAAGACAGATTATTCACTCATAGTTATTTCATATAAATGAAAACTTTGACCAATTCATTTTAAACATCTTTCAAATTTTAAATTTAAAAAACATTAAAGTATTTAAAATGCAAAATAGAAAAAAATAATAGTAAAAAAAGAAAAAAAGAGTAATAAAGGTTATTCACTTACAGTATTCTATTATTTCATACATATGAAAACATTTCATTTCAAACATTTTTCATAGTTTAATTTTAAAAAATATTATAAATATTTAAAACTATAAATTAAAAATAATAATAATAAAGAAGCAGAAAGATTATTTATACCACAGAAGGTTTAAATGGAGGTGGCATTTGTCGCGCTTCATATCTTTTCCAGTCAACACCACGAAAGAATGAATGTGTTCGTATTGGACCATCTGGACATTCTGGCATACCAAGACGAGTATTCGGATTACGATCAAATAACTGAGAAAAAAGGAAAAATTGAGATTAGGAAAAAAATTTTTTTTTATACAAATAATAAAAAATTTAATTTTAAATTAACATTATACAATTAAATATTACAATTTTTAATTCAATTAATAATTTCAGTTACTTATAATTTATAGAACATACTTACCGCACTCAAACATTTAGCAGCTTCTTTACCAATACTTTTTGGAAAATATGGCCTTTCATTTAAAATTGAATCAAAAAGCTCATCCTCTCCTTCACCATGAAATGGACTTTGTCCAATTAACATTTCATAGAGCTTAAGAAAAAGAGTAAAAATTAATCAAAAATTAATTTGCAGCATCTAGATAATTGGGAAAAAAAATAGCTTTTTCTTTCTTCTATTAACTAAATATAACTTGAAGTGAAATAAATGCATTTCTTTCCGTAAAAAAAAAAGGAAAAATAATGATTTCAACATTTTATTATTCAAAATTAATTATATTTTAAAATAAATTTTAAATTGAAAAAACAAAAACAAAGAGGAATTGTTGCACCAACCAAAACACCAAATGACCAGAAATCAACCGCTTCATTGTATAATTGGCCTTTAATTATCTAAAATAATATTGTGTTTATTATTACTACTAATTATCAGTTATAAACATTGAAATTAAATATTAATATTATTTAAATAAAATACATACATATGAAACAGCAATAATTATTGTTCATGTCTCGAAATTTCCTGATAATTAGGTTAAAAGTAAATTAGGAATTTCTTTTGCTTTTTTTTCAATATTAAATGGGAACAGTAATCATAAAATCTTTGTTTGTAATTTTATCTTTTGGCAATAATTAACTAAAATGATTTCCATTTTGATTTTTGAAAAATTTTCGTGGATTTTATTTATTTCAGATTGTTAGTGCATTTTTTGCTTACCTTTTTCATGTATAACCAAAGAAAAAAGTATGAAATATGAATGGTTAAAAGTTATTCATTATTTTTAGTAATTAATTATTAAATATTCCATACCTCAGGTGCAATATAATCCGGTGTACCGCAAAATGTTGATGCCATACCATTTTCTCGATTCATTTCCGTTTTGCACATACCAAAATCCGCCAAATGAATATGCCCATCTGAATCCAATAAAATATTATCCAATTTTAAATCTCTGAAAAAAAGAGAAAAAAACAAATAAATAAAGCAAACTATGAACAATTACTAATTATTTGTTAATTTATGAATAGATTAAAATATCAAAAAAAAAAAAACATTTCAACAATTTCTTTTTCCCCAAATAAAAAAAAATGAAAAATATCTCTGTATTTGTTGAAGAACAAAATTTCTTTTTAATAAAAATTCTTTTAATGAAAAAAAAAAAAAAAGAAGGCAGAACCTATAAATAATGCCGCGTGCATGAAGAAACTGTAATGCAATAATAATTTCACAAGCATAAAATCGTGAACGATTTTCATCAAATTTTTTAGTTGCTTGAATATGATGCATGAGATCACCGCCTTTGAGATATTCCATTACAAAAAACAAATATTCCTAAGAAAGAATGTAAAAGAAATTTTCTTTCTCACTTTTTATGTTTCTTTTTTCCATTTTTTTGAATTCATTTCTTATAAATTTGAAAATTTTTTAAATTAATATACTTTACCATTGAGATTTCAAATATGTAAGTATGAATGAGTGTATAAGCGAATATAAAAAAGAACTTTAGTTTTTTCCTTTTCTTTTTTGAAAAACTCATTTTAAATGTAAAATTTTACATATTAGTATTTAAACTGAAAATATTAATTAACTAAAACTTACATTTGTTTGAAAAGAACAGAATAACTGGCAAAGGAATGGACATTGAGATGACAAAATAAGTACACGTCGTTCGATAAACGTACATTCCGTATCATCATCTTCCAATATAACATCCTTTTTAAGACATTTCATCGCATAATATTCATCCTTATTTTTAAGTTCCACCAATAATACCTTTAATTTTCGTTTTTTTTTTTAAGTTAAAAAAAATTAATTTTTAATAAAAATAGAAAAGAAATATTTATATTTTAATGCACGTTACTAACACTTATTCTATTGTATTTTATTTAGACATAATTTATTTGAAAAAAATTATTATATGCATATTTTTTTCATTTTTCTTTTAATTATATTTTAAGTATATTTTATTTCAAAAAAAAGAAAAAAAAAATGGAAAAAATGGATCTCAAAAAAATAAAAGAAGGAAAGGAATGAATGAATGAAACATTTCGTTTGTTTGTTTATTGTTTTACAGTTGATTAATTAATTAGTGAATTAATTTAATCAATTATTTAACTAATGGATTTAATTATTAAAAAGAGTAAAATTTTAAAATTAGCAAAAACAAACAAACAAACAAACTTTTCCAAAACTTCCTTTTCCAAGCACTTTGCAAACATTAAAATGCTGTAGCCCGTATTTTTTTATACCACCTGCTGTACTCCATGGTGCATTGATATATCTATAAGATATTGATTCATTCATTCATTCATCAATTTTTTACTTTGTTTTGCTTCTGATTTACTTATTTTTTGAATTTCTGCAATTGTAAAATTTAAAATAAAGAAAAAACAGAGAGCAGTGAGCTAATTTTTTTTCATTTTTCCGTTTTTTCTTCTTTTTTTTAAATTATCGATAAAATTATTATAATTAATTCAAAGCTTACTCTTCATTATCACTATGATTATCTAAATTATAATTGTGATAACGGAAAAAAGCTTTAAAACGATCCGGAAATTTATAGCCACTGCATGTTGAACCATTTGATGATGATGAGGAAATGCTACGTGATTCCATTGGTACATTACATCCAGCTGATAATGTCACTGCACCAAAACCAGCTGGAGCACTACAAATAATTTTTAATTAGTTTATTAATTAAAGAAAGAACGAGAAAAATAATAATTACAATATCATTAGAATTAATTAATCAATCATCAATTCAACTAATTAATATTTTATAGAAAAAAACAAGAAAACTTATCAAACAATAAAATAATGATTGAAATTTATTAACTGATTAAAATTAACACTTTTTTTTCATTTTGAACAACATTTCTATGTTTATAATCTCATTCATTAAAAAAAAAAATTAATAAAACAAACAAAGAAAATTTTTTTCTATTAATTATGAAATCTTTTTGTTTTATTTAAATAAAGTTTGAAAAATTTTGTTTAAAATTTTTAATGAATTAAAATCAGCAGATTTCTTCTTTCGAATTTTAGTCTAACAAAAAAAAAAAAAAAAAATGGAAAGAAAAAATATATACAATTTACCTTGTTTGACCATGCGCACCACGTTTAATTTCAAATAATGCTTGCGAAAGTTGCTTTTGATTAACACCACATAAGTTCGGCATATATCGTTGACATTTATGATGGCATACAACGCCACAGACTAAATATAAAAATCTATTTTAATAATGCAATGTTAATTATAATTTGATAATTTATAAGAAAAATTACTGAAACAAACAAAAACAAATTTTTTCTACTAATTATAAAAATTCCCCGTATTATTTAAATATTTAAACAAAGTTTGAAAGTTTTTGTTTGAAATTTTCAATGAATTAAAAATTAGCAAATTTTTTTTTGAAAATTTTAGTTTAATAAAAAATATATAAGTTTTTTTTCAATAATTTAAAAGTTTGGAAATTTGAAACATTGAGAAAAAAGTTCGATATTTTAATTTTATGTAATCGTCCTGTTTTTGCTGGACAATGTCATTTATAGTTTGATGGCAATGAAAAAACAAATAAGGCATATTATTTCACATTTTTAATTATTTTGATAATGTATTTCATAAGCTTAGGAAGCTAATTCGTTTCTTATCACCAACAACCAATCAGGCATGTGAATGGAATTTCCGTTTAAATTCATAACAAAATTTAGAAGGAAGAATTTAAAATGCAAACGAAAATCTTTTTATTGTTAAAATTCTAGGCAGTTTTCTTTTTTTAGTACATAAACCATAAACATAAATTATGTAAAAAAAAAAAGGAAAAAAAGAGAGAAAAAAAATCAAACCTTCACATTTTAGTCCTTGCTTAAAAAGACCATAAAGTAATGAGCCACAATGATCACAAAACGTTGGACTTTTAAAATTATACGGTTTAAAACGATGTGGAATATCAATTTTGAAACGTTCTTTTAAATACTGAAATTAAAAACAAAAAAGAAAAAAAAAACAAAAATAATGAATGATCCAATATTTTCTCTATGAATAATAAATAATTTACATTATTATTTCTAATCTTTATTATTCCGTTTTTTCTTCTTTTTTTTACAATTAATTTTTGGTGAAATAATTTAACGAAAATAAAGAAGAAATAAAAAACAAAACAATAAAATAAATAAATAATAAACAAATAAATAAAAATGTAACATACAATTGTATCTTTGGTCTTTTCAGCTGAACCAGGACATTGACTGATCATTTTTTCATGACATTTCTTATGAACCGCTGCACTACACAATTGACATTGATATCCTTGCTTATTAAGGCCCCTACAAGTTGGTACCTAAATGAGTTTAATAGCTAAATAAATAAATAAATTTTTAATTTTTAAAATCATTTCTAAATCATGCATTATCCATAAATGTTTCCGTTTTGTCTCCTTTTTTAAAATTTTCTTAAAAAATCTTTTCCAAAATGATAAATATTCCTTTGATCACCTTCTATTTTTTCTTTTTGAAAAAAAAAGGGAAAAAAACATCGATCAATACTATGTCAAAATTTTTTTTCGTTTTCTTTTTTCTTCCTTTTCTTTTAACATAAATTTAATTTCCATAACAAAATCAATGCATGAATTTATCATTTCCATTAACTAATTTGCTAGAAGACAAAAAGAAAAAGCATATATTTGAAAAAAATGTTTTAATGAATAAGGTAAGGGAGAAGGGGAGAAAGAGCGAAAATAGTACATGCATATACGGAACATTTATATAATTAATTAAAATAAATAGGTATGAAAAATGAGATGGAAAGTAAAAAAAAATTGATGAACATAAATATATGAATCACTTTTTCCTCTTCTTCTTTTTTTAAAAAAAAAGAAATTGATTTGAAATATGGAAGTAAAAAAAATAAAATGTAATATTATAGTAATACTTCATTCTTCTTTCTTTTTTTTTTTTTTTTTTTTTTTTCTTCTTTGCAACATTAATTTTTTTATTAAAATTTCACTACAATTTTGCCCAAAAAAAAAAAAAAAAAAATTGAAAAAAGAGCAAAAATGAAAAACAAAAAAAGGAGATAAACAAACCACATAAAATCGGAACATAGTGAACAAAATGTTGGTTGACGAAAAAATGTCGCAACAAATTGATGTCCACGAATTTCATGTATTCGAGCATGTTTAATAGCGCCACGGCGACGTTGTATACCAGGACCTTGAAGAGAATCACCGCTTGATTTAAGTTCCATTGGACGATCGTTTATTTTTGCTAAAAAAAATTTAAAAAAAAAAAAAAGAAAAGGCAAAATAAATTCAATTTTCTAATTTTGAAAATGAGATAAAATATTTTAGTGAATAGAGATAAACAATTTAAGATTTTGATTTTAATAATATTACCAAAATATTTAGCATTTGATATGTAAAAGAAAAAGTGGAAAAAAAAAACAAAAAAATAAAATGAATTAAAGAATATTTAAGTTTGTTTTTCCTCTCTTCTCTTAAATGAATTGAAAAAATAAAATAGATATCTAATTAGTATAAAAAAAGTAAATTGCCGCATTGAAATTTTTTTTTTTTTTTGCTTTCAAAAAATGACATTTAAAATTATGCATTTAAATCGTTGATTAAATAGTGAAATGAAAATTTGATACAAGAAATGATCATTTACAAATAGGAACGAAAAACTTTGAAATTAAACAAAAAGAAAATTTTAATCAGTTTCAAAAATTCTTTTTTTTAAAATTTTATTTTCGAAGTCTTCAAATTTTTTTATATAAATAATCAACCTTTAGTAAATAATTATTTTAGCGTAAGCTTTAGCATAGAAAGAAGTTTCTTTAAAATCAACAGTAAAGTTGAGACAATTAATTATATGAAAGAAGATAGAATTAACAGCAGTGAACTTTATTAATTGAATTTTATGTTTCTCGAAACTTCGTTGACTGATGTTTCAACTGATTAGAATGACTTCACACAGTCTATGCACTCATTAAATAGCATTAATTGTAACAAATTGAAAATTTTTGATTTAAAATTAATATTATTACTACTTTCTTAAACGTTATTAATTTAAAGTTCCTTTAATCATTTAAAAAAGAAGGAAAAAGGAAGAAGTCCTCCATTTATATTATATTCAATTTTAATTGTTCAGTTTGCAAAAATGGTGTACTTATAAGTTTCAGTTTATTTTATAGATCAAAATTTATTACTCTCAAATGGATATCCATTTATAAGTTTCACTTCAAATTTCAAAATTGATTATCACCAATTCGATTGTTTAGGAGCTAAATAAAGTGATAAAAGAAAAACATTAATATATTTTTATATATATATATTTATATAAGACTTTTTAAAAAAAAAAAAAAAAAAAAATTTCATTATAAATCTATCAAAATCAATTTCAGTTTTAAAATATAAAGGAATAAAAGCTGCTAAAATTTTCACCTAAAATAATACTGCGAATTTTTTTTTTTGCATTTAAAAAATGATCAAGGAAAGTTCAATTATCAATTGTTCGTATTATTAGTTAATTACTCATAAGGGATGTTACTGCATTTTTTCTTTCCGCTAAGAAAAAAACAGAGAAAATGAAATCAATAAAAAATTAGAAAGTGAAAAGTCGGAAGATCCTTCAAATATGCATTGCGTGAGAGAGAGAGAGAGAAAGAGAGGGGTGGAAAAGAAAAAAAAAGTGATCAAGAATAATAAATGGATGGTAGATTTAACGATTCAAGATCATTCATCTAACACAACTGAATTTCAAATTAATTGTAAATAAGTAATTTGAATTTGAAAATTTCTATAAAATTATTTTATGAATATTCTTACAAGTTGTTTAATTAAGTAACTGATTAATTTGAAAATCAAAAATTGAGAAATTTATAATCTATTATCTTACAAATATTAATTAATAATTACAAATTAATATACTAAATGACTGCATCACTTACTATATGTGATTATTGTCTAGGTTTCAAATTCAAATACATCCGATAGAAGCAAAAAAGTTTGTATATTAAATAATAAGAAATAATCATTTATATTATTAAGTAAAAGGAAAATTTATATACTTTTTTTCATATAAAATTTATATATTTAAAAAATTTCACTTTGATCTTTTTTTGCAATTTCTGTTTTTTGTTTAAATTTCAAAATTTCAATTATATTTCATACGAAATATGCCGCTCTAAACAAAAAATAATTTATATATATTTTTCATAAAAAAATAAACGATAAATACAAAATAAAAGAATTTATAACATTTTCTTTTTTTAAAAAAAGACGAAAACTTCAACATGCCTAACACAACCCTTTGCCGAAAAAAAATTTTTTTCTTTGCCACAAAACTTTTAAACATTGTCAGTTTCCAAAAGAATCATTTAGGAAAAGTTATGATAGTCTTATTTTATCAGTTGCTCCCTCACTCACATTTTCAAAAATTTCAAATGTGAGAATCTTTTTTACTAGAATTTATTAATTTCCTTTACTTATTAGTGAAAAATAAGATGAGGAAAAATGAAAAGGTATGAATTAAAATGATACGATAGCATATGTAAAGTGGCAAAAATACTCCATCATGACAATGACATAAATGAAAATTGAAGGCAATATTTCAAATGTATCAAGCAAAGATTGCTAATAAATGTATATATGAAAATTAAATTTTTCATTTGATCATTAAGAGAAATAAATGTGTAAGAAATAATTAATTTAAATAAAGAAGAAAAAAAAAGAAAGAGTGCATTAAAATTATATAACAATATTGTTAACAACAACTGACGATTGCAATATCGAATGAAAAATAATCATCAGTGCTGATTTCTTGTTTAATTAAACAAGAAATGATCAATAATCATTGAGCTAGTGAGAAAATAAAAGAAAAAGAATTTATTAAAAATGTTCTTTCATTTTCTTTTTTATAAAGAAAATGAAAAAGAAATAAATAAATGACTTTTATGTTGTATACTTTTTTAATTTCTTTTTTCAAGCTTTAAACTAAAAATTCTAATTTTATGAAGGACAAAAGAAAAAAAAAACAATAATTTTGAGATGAAAAAATTTAATGGATAAATATTGAGCGACTAGCTAAAATGGAACAAGTAAGCTAGGAAAATGAATATATTTTTAACTCAAAGGAATGAAAGTGTTCACTCATATAGAATGAAATTGTTGAAGATCTTAAAATTAACATCTAATTGAATGCTAACAAATTCTTCTAAATATTTGTGACAAAAAAAAAGAAGCTTTCAGGATTTATCGCTCTATGCTAATTTAACCCCTCGGAAACCTTCGGGAATTCACTATTCGTTAATAGCTTTAAAATCATTGAAGAAATATCCTTTTCTTTCAATTTAAACAACTTCTTGTTTTTTGTTTTATTCTAATCATACAAATTATACTTAAAAATATTTTACAAATAACAATTACCAACATTAACAATAAAAACAATAAACATCACTATGTAATAATTATCTGTGTAATAACATTTGATTATATTGTTATATTATATAATGAATAATAATGTATCAGAGATTATTTTTGATAATTTTATATGTTTGAAAGATTATTTTTGATTTTTCTATATTTATATTCCTACGTATTTCCTCTTTTTTTTCAAATTTCATTTCAAATCTATTTATTTTAGTGTTGTTAATCTTTAAAAATTAAAAAAGAAAAAGCTCATAAATAAATAATATCACTATTATACATAGGAGAGATTTTAATAACAATAAAAAAAGAAATAGAGAAAGGTTATTTAATAATCAATTGCGCAATAAGTTTAGCAACAAAATAATAAATTGACTGCAAAAAAAATATACTATTCAAATTTAACAAAATGCTAAGTGTATAAAAATATTTCAATTGAATTTAGTGTTTGAAATATTACCATTTAATAATAAAAATATTTCTAATGCATAAGCAAAATTATGTTTAATTCAAACATATAATGAAAACTTGAATAATTATTTTATTTTATGCAGTTTTTAACTTTTCATTTCAAAAAAAAGAAAATTTATTTCAGTTCAAAAAAAAGATTATTTCTGGTATAAAATAAAATTTATCACAAAATTTTATTTATTTCTTATCATCAATCAATTTAATTTGTTTATTTATGCATCAATAAACTAACCAGAATTGCTGATATGACAAGCTTGAGCAAAAATACGTCCTGCTGGTTTCAAATTAATCCAAACATGCGTTGCATTTTCTCCTTTGCATTTTGATATGATATCCTTAAAAAAATCCTTAAAAAAAAAGAAAAAGAAAAAGAAAAAAGAAAAAGGAAAAAAGTGAAAAATTCAACAATACATTGTAAAGCAAATTCTAATATAATCATTATTATCAATATCATTACTATGATTACCATTATTAGTACTATTCCTATTGTTATCACTATTACTATTATTAGCATTACTTGTTTAGGCAAGTTGATGTTAGGGGAACAGTGATAGATTTAAAAATTTTTGGATTATTAAACGAATCGTACATATATTTTATTTGACTTTAAAATATATTTGTAGGTACAGTAGCGGTCAAAATAATAATAATAGTGTAGTAATAATAATAATCTATCATTTATATGCGGTAAAAAGCTATTTTCATTTTAAATTACTTTTTTTTTGTAATCCATTAAGATAGAAAAAAAAATTACAATAATATAGAAATATATCGCATCTATTAATCACTAATTCCCTTTAAAATTCCGTTAAATGCAAATTTTTATTGCAATATATGGAAAAAAAAAATTTGAAATAATATAAAATAACCTAGAATACATCGTATTATTCGTAAAAGTATGAAAACAATAAGTGAAAGAGATAGAATGTAACAAATAATCATTTCATCCTAAAATTAAACGTATATTGTGAAAGAAACTGAAATAATTAAAGTCAGTTTTTATGAGATAAAGAAAAAAAAAAGGAAAAGGAAAAAAATGAGAAAATGATTCGAAGCTAATGAACAGTTATCAATTCAAACATGCAACAATATCATACTTTTCATTTCAAATGGTTTAAAAATAAAATAAAATGAAATGAAAAAAAAAAAAAAACATGAAAAGGATAATAAGAAAAAGAGGACAAAAATGTAATGGAAACTTTTAAATTGGAATAGCAATAACAATTAATTAGAAATAAATAATTTGCTGTAGAAATGTGCAAACTTTCACATTTTTGCTATACAAATAAATGGACATACATAATTATAATTGTTTTAAAAGTATTTCAAATGTTTCTGATGAATGCTAATA